AATATATATATGCTTCAGCTTTAAAATGTTTAGTTGTGCCAATTTAATAATATCCATCATTTGGACAGCAGTGCGTTCATGTAGCTGTCCATGGTGCTGGTGTAGGCATTCTAGTATATATAAAAATGTGATCTGAAGGCCGCAACAATTATAATAATAATTAAGTCACATTTCTGATATGTGCATTGCTCTTTGTCTCTGGTTACTCAAAGGATAGACAGATAGCACATTAAGCTGATATACGCCTTGACAATTGTATTATTCATATTTGCTCATATTTTCATGTTTTGTGAAAAGGAGATAAGGCAAGTTTTAATTCAATTTGGTTTATATATATGCTACACCTGTCTTTAAATAAATATATAAGGGAGCTGAACATTATTTGCCATTACCAGATTGGCATCTTGATGCATTTATCTTGAAGGCTTAAACGAACTTATGAGATTGTTTTGTGATAATGTAGTATTTTTAAATGACCACATGGGGACATTGTAGACCATCACATTTTCATAGTGCTCTTGGTTGTTCGAAGCTCCTCCTAGATTTAGATGATGGTGACGATGATGCTTTGCAAGGCTTTGTTACAAGAGGGGCAGTATGAGAATACATTGTGCGATCATCGCTTTGTCCTTTACTTCTTATATACACGGAAATCTGGATTCTGCCACTCTAATTTCACCTTGAAGACTACGATCCATATGCTGTGCTCGCACAGGATAGAAAATGTCGACAGGGAGGATACGCAGTTCTTTTGGGATTTATGTAGTCGTTGTTCTTTTGGATTGCTGCTGGCAAGTGGTGACTGGGCAGCTCTCTTACTCTGTATCAGAGGAGGTAAACCCGGGGACTACTGTGGGAAATCTCGCTAAAGATCTAAATCTTAACGTGCATGACTTGAGGACGCGTAAGTTTCAGATTGTTAGCGGATCAAAGAGAAATTATTTCGATATAAATTTGAAAACGGGTAGTCTCTATGTCAGTGAAAGAATCGACCGTGAAGAGCTTTGCGCAAAAGCTGCAATATGTACTGTTAGCGTAGAGGCCGTGATCAACAATCCACTGAAGCTTTATCGTTTAGATGTAAATGTAGTCGATATTAATGATAATGTGCCACATTTTCCTGAGAATTTGCAGTATCTTAATATTGCGGAAAGTACTGTGCCAGGGGGGAAATTTGGATTTATAGGGGCATCGGATCTTGACGTTGGAAAGAATGACGTTAGTTCATACAAGTTGAGTCAAAATGATTACTTTTCTTTAGAGGTCCACAAAGGAAGGGATAGTGTGTCTGCCGAGCTGGTGCTACAGAAAGCTCTAGACCGAGAAACACAACCTACTGTTAATCTTACAGTGACTGCTGTCGACAGCGGAAACCCACCCAAGTCAGGAACATTGCAAATCATTATAAATGTCTTAGACAATAATGACAACGCTCCGGTTTTCAGTAGCGCTTTGTATAAAACACAGATTCATGAAAATCTACCAATGGGTAAAACAATTATATTTTTAAATGCAACAGACGCAGATGACGGATTAAATGCTGAAACTGAATATTCTTTTAGAAGTAAAGGTCAGGATCATGTTTTAAATGTATTTCAAATAGACTCTAAAACGGGAGCGATTTCAATAAAAGGTAAAATCGATTA